ACCTAAACCTGCACATTTGCTTCTACAATACGTGGATGACATCTTGATTGCTACAGAAGAAAGACTGACCTGCATCAAGGTAACAATAGACCTTTTAAACTTTCTTGGACTGAATGGGTACAAAGTTTCTAGGAATAAGGCTCAGATAGCAAGCCAAACTGTAATATATCTGGGCTTTGAGATTTTGAAAGGCCAACGACAGTTGGGAACAGACCATAAGGAAGTAATTTGTAGTATTTCTGAACCAAGAAATGTTCATGAATTAAGAGCATTTCTGGGAATGGCTGGATGGTGTCGCCTTTGGATAATGAATTACGGTCTGATAGCAAAGCCGCTTTATGAAGCCCAAAAGGTTGTACCGTTTGTGTGGGGCCCAGAACAGCAAAAAGACTTCCTGAACTTAAAACAGGCTTTAATGACTGCACCAGCATTGGGACTTCCAGATCTAACCAAAGATTTTCAGTTATCTGTTCATGAAAGGCAACATCTTGCCCTCGGGGTGCTGACTCAGAAAATGGGAAGCTCAAAAAGACCGGTTGGGTATTTCTCCAAACAACTGGACACTGTAAGTAAAGGATGGCCTACATGTCTCCGAGCAGTCACTGCTACAGTGATGTTAATACAAGAAGCCCGGAAATTAACTTTGGGAAGGACAATAACAGTATGTGTACCACACATGGTAATCACTGTTCTAGAACAAAAGGGGGGTCATTGGTTATCCCCTAGCAGAATGATGAAATATCAAGTGATTTTGACAGAACAGGATGATGTCATTTTGAAAACTACTAACTTAATTAACCCCGCAGTCTTTTTGAACGCCATGCAGGAAGAAGGACAAATAGAACATGACTGTTTGGTGACCATTGAACATGTGTATTCCAGTCGAGAAGACTTAAAGGATAGACCGCTGGAGGATCCTGATCGGGAATTATACACGGATGGCAGCAGTTTTGTGGAGGATGGGATCCAATATGCAGGATATGCGGTGACTACTGAGAATTCTGTTGTAGAAGCAAATTCTTTACTCTGCACAACTTCAGCCCAAAAGGCAGAATTGATAGCCTTGATGAGGGCATTAGAGCTAAGCCAAGGGAAGAAAGTGAATATTTGGACTGATCCAAAATATGCCTTTGGCGTGGTACATGTTCATGGAATCCTGTGGAAGGAAAGGGGATTATTATCCTCTCAGGGGACGAGTATTAAATACAAAGAAGAAATCTTAAAATTAATACAAACAGTCCAAAAACCGATTAAGGTGCACTGTAAAGCACATCAATTTGGAAATTGGTGTGATGGTGACACACAAACAAAAGAAATTATAGGAAACAAATTGGCAGACAGGACAGCTAGGAGAATTGCAAAAAGAGATGCCTACTAAAATCATTGCTCTACCAAAGGAGAAACCTAAATATTCAGAGGAAGACGAGAAATTAGGTAAGTTGTTAGATGCAAAAAAGAATGTGGTGGGACGGTGGATAACATCACAAGGCCAAGTAGTAGTCCCACCACTAATAATGAATAACTATCTACTTTCCCTAGGAAAAACTTTAACTGTGTTTCGGAGTGTAGTTGTTTGGAACAGACCTCTGTCTTTGGAGAATCCAGTACATGATTTCCAATCAGGAGATTATGTTTATGTAAAAACATGGACTTCTGAACCTCTTCAGGAACGTTAGAAAGGACCTTTTCAAGTACTGTTGGCTACCTTCACTGCCAATAAGATAGCTGAATCAGAAGCGTGGATACACTACACCAGGGTGAAGAAAGCCCCACCATCGTGGAAAATTGTCAATAGGGATGATAAGACCCCAAAATTGACTCTGAAATATGTCTAGTTTTATGTATTCTTTTTAGAAATGGGAATGGATATTGGTTTGGATATTAGTGGGAGCAAATTTTCTAGCGAAATTTGAACCAGCTGGAGAATTAGTAAAACATGGAAATTTATTAAAATTGGGATGTAATTCTACTCAAATTCCAAACCTTAATCCTGAGGAGATGAAAATCTTCAAGGGACTAGGATGGAATTTGAGTTCATGGATAAAATCACTGATTAGCACTGCATTAGTCTTGTTGATAATCTTTTAACAATTATTTTGATTTACTATTGTTTAAAAAGGCAAACAGTAAGATGGCATTTAATCGAATGATCATCCAAGCAGTGGCCAGACAACAGGATGAACCAAATACAATATCAAAGATTCCCACTAAGATCACTGAAATGTAGTGATTAGCACATCACTAAAACAGATATCAAAATGAAAGTATTGATGTGATTTTCAAAACTTTCAAAGGGGGGAAAATGTTGAAGATTATCTTAAGTTTTACTGAGTCTTTACGTTGTGAAATAATCAACTATAAGAACATTTTGATTCCTGTAAGTTAGCCCCTATGGTAGCGTTATGTATAGGTTGCTGTGTTACTTATTATTCGAGGCTGGGTTGCTTGAAGTCCCTATTCCCTGTTCCCTGGACTCTCTGGACCATAACCAGAGCCCCGAGGTTCTGTTGTATATGGGATGAGTTATTTGACAACCTGGCAAGGTAGATATCTAGCTGGCCAACTTGGCAACAAAACCTACTTTTAAGTGGTTCACCTGAAGTGCACTGCCTTCATTGTAATACTAAAAAACACACCCACAGGTCAAGACGACCCTTGCCCAGGTGAAGACCCTTCCCCTGCGCAAGCGTAGTAACAGAAGAGAATGACACAGCAGATATTATAATTATATGCAAATCACTAACCAATCATTGTAACTGGGAGTGTACTACCGTGTAATTTCTGTGTATAAATGTCACGGTGAACTTGGCATAGGTGTGCTTGATTTGTGGAAGTTCCACCCAGCCCCCGGCGCCCTAAAACTCCAAATTGAGTCTTAGAGAGTTTTTCATCTGCCGACTTATGGTAACAGTCTGTCACAGATTTCCTGTGGGATTTTATTGAGGAATTGGGGACTGTTATATTCACTGCTGGTGGTGACCCATGTTCACTTTAGAAGGAAGTTTCTGGGAAGCATTGCCTACAGTTGTGTGTCTCTGCACTTGGCTGCAGCAGAGCTACCAACAATAGGGATTGCTACAAGAAGCATGATAGGGTTGACAGCAGCAACAGCACACCTCTATTCTCTTTTGCATAATGACGAAGTGACTTCAGACACTAATTGCAGAAAAAAAGCAGCAGCTTTACAGGAATGGACACTTCTGTATTGGTAAGCCTGGATATGACCTTGCTGCTGCTACCTGGAGGACAGTCTCTTTCCTTCTGAAGAGACCCTTCCTTTCATTTTTGCCTTTAGACCTCCTTTTAATAAGTGCTGCCAAGTCATTCCTGTTGCCCAGCGTGAGGCCTGACTACATCATCTGTTCCGTTTACATTTTATTTGGAGGAATCAAATTGAGTGTAATCCTTGTGAATGCATGGGAGAGAAGAGTACTCAGCTTTATTTATTTGAAAGGTCTGTGGTAGGAACTGGCAGTGGTAGTTGGATCATTTTATTCATAAGTCTGATATACTGCCTTGGAAAGAAAAACACAAATTTACCAGCAGCTATAAGGCCTCTCACTCACTCTCTTATCCCCCATGCCTTGGCCATGTGCTTTTGAGGCTAATACTTGTGTTTTGGCCATATTACTATATGGGCCTCCTGTTGACTGGGACTGCATCTGCCTTGAGGGAATTTGAAGAAAGCATTACCATATGATCATACTAGTGATTTTGAAGGACACTTTTTGTTAGGTCCCTGATTTTACATAAATAAAAGCTTGAGTCTGCTATAAATGATCTGTGGACAGATCTCACCCTAGCACTGCAAACTCTGGGTGTCAGAGATCCATGACCCTCTCCCCAACATCTATTCTGTGGAGTATGTGTGGTGCATCTGCAGGTAGTCCCCCTCTCTTAACAGCAGGCTTGCCCCTGCTTCCAGATCCCAGCTGCCCCAGAGCTGCATGGTTTGGTGTCCTTCCTTCTCAAAAGGACTTCCAGATGATTTCTCTACCTGGCAGCGCTCAGTACTGCAGCCCCAAATAATTCCGGGGACTGTGCCTGCAGACCCCCATTCACTAGCATGAGTGAGGAGGAAAAAAGCAGCTTGACAATCCAGCATAGTCTGAGTGTTGGCTCTCTAAGAAGGGGGGCGGAAAAGATAATCTTCTACTGATGTTCCTGTAACATGAAGGCCTTGTGCTATATCCTTGCTGATCAGTCTGGCACTCTTTTCCAGCTTTTATATTAGCACGAATATTTCAGTGCTAACACTGCCCTCTCAGAGAACTTTGCTTCCAACCTGTCCCAACCTGCCTTGAAGGAGGAGATTTTTCCCTCCAGGAAAGGAATAATAGTGTCATCTCTGCTGGCCTTGTTGACCCCGCAAGACTAGAACAGCTTTTATTAGTAGCTGTTTCTCCATGGGAGACTATCTCAATTCATCACAGAGACAAAATTAAAAACCTGGACACTGATTTGTTCTTCTTTGCTGTTCTTCTTTGCCCTTTCCATGGATCAGCATAACACAGCTGGAATGTGGCTCTAATAAGCTTCAAACGGTGCATTTAAGCTTGGTTTAGTGTTTAAAAACATTTGGAGCTCTGTACATGCAGGGAATGATGTGTCAAGGCAGAATGGTATTTTCCTTTGGCAGGAGAGGATGACGTAGGAAGGACTGGGCTAGATCCTGAGGACTTGACCAAACTGCTTCTGCATTGAGTCCTGTGACTTACTGGAACATCTTCCCAAATGGGAACCCAGTCCTGAACTGAAGGTTTCAGCAGTTTTAATAATAATCTCTCCTCTTCATAATCTGTTCCGCTGTAGTAAAATTGTTCTTTAAAAAAATATGTCGTAAATCTCATCGGATCAGAATGATCTTAGGCTTGCGGTGGTGATCTTTTTTCAGTGGTAGGATTTGGAAGCAATTTTTCTAGATAGTGTGAATATATTAAAAAAAAAATATGTTTTACTGGATATAAAATTTCTAATGATGTGACTTAGACCTGGGTAGAAACCTATCTCAGTTTCAAATGAAACTGTTGAATATTGTGGAGTTATAATTGCACAATCATTTAAAAATTGGTTCTTATTTTTTCTATACGTGCCCTTTGCTTCCATCCCCCACAGTGGGGAGATGCAAAACTTTTGCTGGCTACAGAACAATCTGACTAAACATTTCTTCAATGCTGTGGCTGCTTCTCTGTAGAAATAGGCTCTGACCACTGACAAATGTTCGTGTTTAAGCTTGGAGGAACACACCACAGTTCAGCAATAATGTGACCCTTTATTTAAATATTTGATTATTTCATAGTACAGATGAGATTGAATACACAAAGTCAATACTTTGAACGAGGCATGACAATCAATATTTGAGGTCCAAAGGGGTTTATAAAATAAATCAATATCACAGGTCTGCCTAAGATGTTGTGATCTGGTTGCATGGAATGCTACTCCTTAAGAAAAAAAGAAATATAAAAGCAAAGTTTAAAGTGCATAGAAATTAATTGAGAAAGTAGCAAGCATAATCAATTTTTTAATAAGTTCATTGACTTCAATATGGATTTAGTATGATATATTCAAGTTACCGATTTTATGCTTTCACAGCAGTTCTTCATAATGTGAAACAACGGCTCCATTGGGTCACACAGCAGTGGAGTACCACACTCGTCACTCCTTTCTTCCGCTCACTCAGCCATGCTTAGCATATGCATGGCTTGGTGTATGGAGTGTCTATAGCATGCTGTCTTTTATACCTGTGATTTAGCAGGGTGAGTGGCAGCTCTCTTGAATTCAATCTGTGTGACTGACAGCTTTACTTCACAAGGTGACACTTACTTGATCTGGCTTTTTTTGTAGCTGTGTCCTTGAGCTTGTATTTTCCTCTTTTTTTCTTTCCCTTCCCATAAAATAACTTTTACACCTGCTGTCCAGTCATAATGGAGATGTGTGAATGGATAACGGTAGTGAGAGAAGCATCCATCATTCACTCCATGCTTTGAGCAGATGCAGGGTGACCAGTTGTATGAACCCACACTTAGACTATTGATTATGCTGCCCCTATTAAAAACCTTTTACACCTTATTGCAAGCTGCTCTGCCCTCAGTCTCATGTTGCTCCTGCTACCCAACAAAACAGGCAACACAAAAAGACTCTTCTGCAAACTGCTCTTTCATTCCTTTAGATCTCAAATCCATCAAAAAATGTTGCAACAGGTATAGCACCTGCTGCTTCTTGGGCTTGGCTCACTGCCATGGGCTGTCATACAAGTTTCATAAATAGTAATGTTTTTATCTGTAAAAATGTAGACATTTGTGCATGGTTTATAATTAAGTAAGACACAGCAAGCAATGCATTATAGTGCAATAACAGCTGTTCTCACTGCCATACATT